GCGGTTGCTGCGGTTCTTGCATTCCTCTGCGGTTTGCTCGTCAATAGCGCGGTATTGCTATATTGCGGTTATCGCGACAGCCCTATCTGCAAATATACATTTATTAAAATTACGTTTATTCTGCTTAAAGGAGACATATTATGCCCCTTTTTACAATATGTAATATAAGTCTCTGGGCTAACTAAGACTAAACTAAGTTCCCATTCACACACAAGTTATAATAATAGATAAAACCATAAAAACAAAAATTTGTTACTTGAAATAAATGTTAAAGGAGACACATTATGTCCCTTTTTACAATATGTAATATAAGTCTTTGGTGTCCCCAGAATGTGTCTGTGAAGTTTCAGCTCAAAGTACTCCACAGATCATTTATTATACCATGGGAGCTGCAGGCGCAATGATATTACGCAGCGCCTGAAAATAGTCCCCAGCTAGGTAACTTCAAATAAGCCTATTTTCAGGCGCTGCGTATTATCATTGTGCTTCCTGCACCCATGGTACGGCAGCAAAGTTCCTTGATTATTACGCCGGAATGAGAGTATAGTTCCTAGCCATATCGGCCTAGAAAATCTCAACTTTTCATTTTCCGTCAGTCTTAGTACACGATGTAACTACAGAAGAGTCAAGTTTTAAATAGGAAAAATATAGAAACTCTTTGGTCATTTTTGAACGAGATGCTAACGGTCTAATCAGATTCAATGATCTATGCTAAGCTACAGCTAAAAGTGCTACCGCCAGACCCGGAGATCGGCTGAATGGATTCGAAAACGGTAAAACTCAACTGTTTAACTCTAGGGGAGTTGGAAAATGAGCCTATTTTCAAAAATAGTGGAGTGTTCCTTTAAGCATGTTAAGGCGGCATTTAGAAAAGCAAAGAACACTCTTTGGTAGAGTGAAGCAAATAAAGCTTATAATAATAATTAAGATAAAAGTGAAGTTTCCTCCACACAGACCAGTTAGCCAGTTAGTTGTAAATCTAGAGCATATGTTAACACGCTGATGTTTTGTGTCTGCTCTCTATGGTTGATGTTGGCAGACACGTGCCGTACCCAAACCTGTACCCGGACCAGTCTCCCAGTGAGGAGTGGACCCTGGAGGAGAGGTTCCGGCCGCTCACCTTTCACGGGCTCATCCTGCGCTCTCAGCTCGTCAACCTGCTGATCCGCGGCGTCTGCTACGCTGAAAACCAGTCGGTCAGGGACAGTCAGATCTCATCACCTTTCCTCTCATCACCTTTTCTCTTGCCTTTATTTCCCACCTCGATTTTCCTAATCTTACTCCAATAGTCTTTTCAAAGGCGGTCAGATCATCCCTTATGGTTATGCCCTATATTTTCACACTATTACTTGAAAGTGAATATGACATTATACTGATTCAATTTACTTTATTAATAACTGTTTCTAGTTTCATGTGTTTCATAGTATTTTAATCTCAAACATTTTGCAAGTGTAATCAAGACAGCGTGGGCATGGATTAAGAATATTATTAACTAATGTTCTAACATATTTCGACCAAGCAAATCCCACCAAGTAAAATCAAGTCCTGTACACTACATTATTTCTTGCTTGATATTCTGCTTCACTCAGAAATACGTTACATTGCTATGAACATTATACAAGATATTTGATTCCAGAGAGAGTCTTCATAATCGTTAATAAAAAATGTAATAACTTTAACAACTTTTTTTTTTCACTGACAACCCAATGAATTCTATTGAATGTGTATATGTAGTGTGCTTTAAATCTTAAAAGTATGTTCAAACTGTACTTATAAATTATATAAACTAAAATATAAGGGTACTTCAGTATACTTGGTGTACATTCATGACTTTCTTAACACACTTAAGTACACTTTTATTTAACAAGTGCACTTTGTTGTAATGTGTAATGTCCAATTAAAATTTTTAAGTTAAAGTATTTACATTTTTACATTTTTGTAATGCTTTAAAGAACACTTGATGTGTTGACTGAATACTAAAGCAAATGTAAAGCGCTTGATTATAATTTTAAATATTGTGTTATTCGATATTACATTCAATATATTTTAATTTTGTACTAAATCACAACTTAATCATATTTAAAAATGACATGACATAAAAGTTTTTAATAGAAATTTTATTTACCATGAATGCTTGTCAGTATATTCTGCTGTCAACTTATTTTACTTAAGTCCTACTTAAAAGTGGGTGGAAAAAAGCAATCAAAAGTTTATCTAATTGCATGTAATATAAATTTAAACTATATGATATTTTCATTTATACAACAGTTCTTTCTGCTCCTCGAATCTGATTGGCTGAGAGCCTTTTCCAGCAGTGCGATATTCTAGTGATAACAGAGTATTTCTCACAGAGAGTGTCATGCTGGATGCCCAAATCCACTATAATTTTATAAATAATGCTGTTTTTGTGTCACGGAATGTGGTTTTAAGAGTTTTTTTAGGCGCTGAGTCCATCTCTCTCATAATACTCTACAGTAAGCTTTTAATACAATAATACAATAAGCTTTCAATGAAGCAACTCAATGTTCCTTCGTTACTAGTTCTAAAGTGACGTTTTGGAATTAATAATGGAGGCTTGGGCTCAGCTGTTAAACTGTCAAATTTGATTTGAATCATTGGCGGAAAGAAGCAGTTCTGCACAAAAGAGGGTTTTTAAAGACAGTCTGCCATTTCTTTTTTTTTTTTTTTACACCCTTGTGCCGTCGAACTGTTGTATAAATGCAATATCACACGATATCAAGCACGCTGTGATTACCTATGACTGAATCAGAGCCGTGCCGATATACAGCCATATCTCACAGCTACTCGTGTGACATTGCTCTTTTAATTCCAAATAAAATGCATGTAATATAAATTTAAATATTAAGATATTTTAATTAAATTCCAAATAAAATACAATTAAGACTCTGCACGTTTGCATGTATTATTTCTATAATAAGTACTCTTTTTAAAAGAATGCTAAAGTGAAGTATTTTTTCACAAAGGTCTGTTTAGCAGCAATCAGAGTGCGAAACATTGATCTGTTTGAACTGTAGATGCAACCAAATACATGCCAGCCATTTGAGAGCTGCCTCTCTCTCCTCTGCCCTCTGTAGAGCGCCTCACAGCCACGGCTCTCTCATTCAGAGATGACTGAGGATTACCCACGATTCCCTGACATCCACGATCTCGACCTGGCCCTTCTCAATCCACGCATGATTGTGGTAAAGTCCTCTGACCTATCAGACTCTTCAGGGGAATGTCGTGACACTCGCAGCAGTTCATAAACTAGTGCTCTATATCCAGTTATCTAGGATGTGTGTATAATGGCTGTTAATTGGTGATAATTGTAAGTGTGTAAGTGATCTTGTTGTAAAGTGAGCCTTGCAGTGATGACAGTTTGTTCAGCGGTCTCTCTCAGACATAATTAGACTCATTTGTCTTTTTTTTTTCTTAAACAGGACGTGACTCCTTACATGAACCCCTGTCCATATACAGTCTCTCCAAATACATGTGTCTCCCAAGTATTCAATCTGTTCAGGACCATGGGCCTTCGACACTTACCTGTGGTCAATGCGGTGGGAGAGGTACGTCTAAAACACAAACATCTAAACATGTTGTTAGAAACACGGTGACAAAGAAATATAGAAGCAACTTTGTGTGTCTTCAAATTTTTGTGTCTTCATTTATACTTTTAAGGCAAAGTTCAACCAAAAATAAAAATTATGTCATCTCTTATTACTTAGAGCTGTGAAATCTTTGGGTAGACAGCGAAGCAGTTAGGTTTGCAATTAAATTCGGGAACGATTTTTGCAAATTCAGAATGATCTGATTCTTATTCACAATGAAGTCTGATTTGATTTCAATTAATGATTTGATTTTTGTATTTCAAAGTGCATTCGTAGAATGTAAATGCTTCTTCTAATGTACAGTGTTATTATAGTTAACTAAAACTTAAAACTAAAACAATGAAGAAAAAAAAAAAAGTTACTTAAAATAAAATAAACTTTTTTTTTTACTTTTATTTCAGCCAAGGCAACATTTCTCATTTTCATTTTATCTTGTTGTACTAAAATAATTTAAACTAAAACTGAAGTAAAACAATATATAAAAACGATATACATTAAATTAATTAAATTAAAAACGAAAATTAAACAAAATTACTAAAACTTGAAATAAAATGGAAAAAATATAAAAATAAAATAATTCTAAATATTAATAAAAACTTGAATTGTATCTCAGTGATACTAAAGTAACCCTGCATTGTGTATGCAAGCAATTTAATGTTAAGATATTAAATTAGATTTTACAAAATTGCAATTCTTTTTTTTTTTTAGCATCTTTTCATTTTCCATCGGTCTTGGTGCACGATGTAACTACACAAGAGTCAAGTTTTAAGTAGGAACAATATCGAAACTCTTTGGTCATTTTTGAGCGAGATGCTAACGGTCTAATCAGATTCAATGATCTATGCTAAGCTACAGCTAAAAGTGCTACCGCCAGACCCGGAGATCGGCTGAATGGATTCGAAAACGGTAAAACTCAACTGTTTAACTCTAGGGGAGTTGGAAAATGAGCCTAATAGTGGAGTGTTCCTTTAACTGAAACACAATTCATGATTTAAAAATTCATGTTTGTAGATTGAGGCATAAGCTCCATCCATCCAGTTTCATGAAGTGATGTTTTGTCATCTGTGTCTCTCTCTCAGATCGTGGGAATAATCACCAGACATAATCTTACCCATGAGTTTTTAGTTGCTAAACTCCGACAGCATTACATCACAATCTAAGACACCGTCTGCGATCAAGCAGCCAAGCTTGAGTAATGGCGTCCTCGAGGTGAGAAGAGCCTGAACCCCTGCTTCAGGTCGCACCCTAAAGCCATTCCTAGTATCTGTGTGGACTGCTAGAGTTCGGTACCTGACCCGTCCTGACACACACACGCCTCATGCTAGCACTGATGCAGGTGAGGTCCCGTTCATCAGCGCCGCCTGTGCTTTATCAACCTCACTGTAGCACTTTTCATTTAGTCTCTGAGTTCTGAATGTTTTAATAGTGCTCACCATTTCTGTGTATTTCTGAACGTTTGCGTTTGTACAAAGACTGATGTAAACCACTGACCACAGTCCCTGGCCGAAAGGGTAAATGTCATGAAAACGGTCAAGAGCATGCCTGGGCCATCACCCTAAAATCAAAAGGAAGAAATATTTTTGTTTCTTTTTGATTGCATTTTTAGGACCATTAAGATTTTATGCATGTCATTTTTTTTCATTGCAGTTAAACATTTTCTCCAAATTACTGTACTGCCAAAATAAATTTAAATTGTATTGCCATAAGTAATGCTGATTTAAATCAAATCAGTGCATTACTGTAATGCAAATATTTTATTTTTAAATGTTTGAAAAAATTACCGTAATAGAGTAATCAATGTAAAGAAAGTCACCAATATATATATCATTTGAATTATGGGGCGTAACTGTAATTAGATTTTTTGGAGTTAATGCCAAAAGGCAATAAAATATTTTGTTAAATTAGGCTTCATTTACTAAACAAAAATAAACAGAATATTTTTCTTTTCTTTGATTTGGGGTGAAATGTATGGAAGCCTGTTTACGCCGCTGAACAAAACTACAAAAGGTAATTGCGACTTTATCTCACAATTCTGGGTTTTCCTCGCAATTCTGCCTTTTTTCTCAGATTACAAGTTTATATCTTGCAATTCTGACTTTATAACATGCGATTGCGAGTTTATATCAGAATTCTGAGAAAAGTCAGAAATTACAAAATGTAAACTCTCAATTGCAAGAGAAAAAAAGTGAGATATTGTGAGATAAAAAATAAAAAGATAATCGTGACTTTATTCAGTGGCGGAAACGGGCTTCCATAGAAGTGACTTATTTTCATAAGATCTTAGTAAGTAGACCCTTTCTAGGACTCAACAATCAGATGTATATGGATTTTCATCTCATATAGTCATGCCATTATATCAATAATCCCTTTTTTTAGTGACACATTTACTCCATTTCGAAATGCAATGTAAAGTTATGGCATTTATTCCAAGTGAAGAATGTTTTAATTGTAACTGTGGCATTAATAATATTTTTCTTCCGTTATTTTTTTTCCCATTCCATTGAAATGCCCTGCCATTCTTGACGTTGTTTTGTCAGGGAAGAACGTTCTCAGGGTGTGTTTGTAATAATGAGCTAATCAAACCACCAGAAAATCACTGAATTACAGGGATTTATGTAAAACATATGCTTGTTTTCATAACGTTAACACAGTCATGATATTAGTATATCATCATTTGACTGTGGTTTGATTTCAAGAGCAGACTAAATAGTATTAGAAGAAATTATGGCACATTTATATACTATACATTCCTGACATATTTATTGTTTACCGTAATTTTCTTTTTTATTTGATTTATTTAAGATGAAGGATATTTTGTCACATGTTTTAATTTATGCTTTAAAATGTTGTTTATCTACTATTGCAGTTTTTTTTAATTGTGATGTGGAACTATCAACGTTTTATTTGAGGTGTCTTTTTAATGTATGTTTTATAACATACTGTTTAATTTCTTGACTGAAGATGTGCTGCAGGTTTGGAGAGCCGACTAAACACCATCCGCCTGTTATAAAAGCTTCATAAACGATATGCAAATGTTACGTGAAAATCGTCTGTGATCTCAATATTGCGTTGTGATATCGTACACTATCATTATGGTTTTTCAGGTGATTAATTTTATGCAGTTGTCAAAATAAAATATACACCTTTGTAAGACTTGTGTTCAGTGGAATGAGTTCAGAATTCATGCAGCAGGCCTAACAGCATTTGTAAAACTGCTTGCATATCCTAAAATGATTAAGAAAATTTATTTTAATGCTTAAGTATTCGTTGAACTGCATTCTTCCACTAGACGATATATTTTCTGTACAGAACATCTGCCAGTCATGACCAGATGCTGCTTATTATCATCAAATAAACTCTTGTATCACACTGAAAGGTGGACCTTGCATAAAGTCACTGTAGAAAACTTACACACTTGTGCAATTTAAGTTGTTACTCACGCAAAATATAGAACTTTCAAAAACATGCTCTGGTCAAACTCAAGTATTTCAACTTTATTAACTGTAACTGATTGACAGTCAGTTTAGTGTTCACACTGACAAAGCAACATTAATTTTAAGTGGAAGTTGGCAATTTCCAGAGCCGGGGCCATTTGTGATGCAACAATTTGTGCAGTGTACAGCTTAGTTTTATGCAAATGAGTATCAACACAATGTGACAATGACCAATGGGAGTGCAGACAGTGATCTGCCATCTGATACAGGCCAATAGAAACCACCAGCACTGGCGACAGAGCATTCTGAACTCCGAAAATCCATTGCTATTAGGAAAAAAAAAAAAATGCTTATTGAATAATAATGGTTATTAATCATTTAAATAATATATATTTATAACATAACTAAAATGTATACATTTTTTTATACATTTATTTTATTATGTATTGCTCCAATAGCATACATGTACATTACCATTTAAAAGTTTGGGGTATAAGATATTTGAATGTTTTTGAAAGTCTTTAATGCACATCAAGGCTGCATTCATTTAATCGGAAATGAAGTGGAAAAAAATACAAGAACATTGTGAAATGTCAGACAATAAGACCAAAAATGCAAAAAGTGCTGCTGAGGTGAAAAAACTTTCTCAAATCCTGATGCTCTTTGGAGTAATGGATAGTTCAACTCATAAAAAGCATGCAAAACCAAGGCAGTCAAGGATGTGTAAAAAATACAAATTTTCTCTATAATAATGTTAAAAACTTATCGGTGCACACAAACACGTTGTGGCTAACAGGCCTTCATCAGGGTGTAAAAAAACAAACATACTCAAGTATTTTATACTCCAAACAATTAGTCAGACATGATCACCTGACTTGGTGAAATAAGAGAGGAAATTCAAATCATCAGCATAATCAAAAACAAACAAAATCACAACATTTAGCTCAAACACAATATATCAAAAATCAACTATGTAAAACATCAAAATATATATTTACATCAAACACAATCACCAATGTCAATACCAATAACAGTGTGTATTTACATCAGATAAGTACTTGAGTGTTTGTTTGTTTAGGCTTTTTATTTTTACTCCTCCTTGAGTGCCTTGGTTTTGTGTGATTTTTAAGTGTTTTTTTTTTGTTCGTTTGTTGTTTTGTATATATAGCCTATGTTTTTTTTTAAATGTCAGTTTATTTCTGTAATGCAAACGTTGACTTTTCAGCATTACTACAGTCTTCAATGTCACATGATCCCAGAAATCATTCTACTATTTTATTTGATCACTAATCCACAACCCGATCTCACGAAAGTGCGTATAAATAGTACGCCAAATAAAAAACAAAAACTCGTGGTATTGATACGCAGAAACTGACTTTGGCGTGTATATGCTACGCAATGGGTAGGATTAGGGTTGTGCAGCAGCCCATCTCGGGTTGTGGGGTAGATGCGTATCATATGTACGCGAAAACTGCGTCATATGCACGCCAACAAATTTCATATCATATGCACGCGAAAACTACCTATTACATGCACGCCAAACACGTGCGTATCATATGCACGCCAAAGTCATTTTTTTTGCGCATCAATACCACGAGTTTTTGTTTTTATTTGGCGTACTATTTATACGCATTTTCATGAGACCGGCAACACTGTCACTTTCTGAAGGATCCCGTCATTAAGGAACTGACTTCTGTTTAATACGGTGAAAGAGAAATTGAGGACAAAGCAAAAACTTGAGCAGCATCTTCTCATAGCAAAGTAGTGAAATGGTTTAAAACGGAGTCAATTGTGATATAGCAATAAACCATCTGATTAACAGGTCAAACTTTAGTTTGGGGACCAATCCTCACTATTAACTAGCTATTAACTATGACTTTTGACTCTTAACTCCTAATTTGCTGCTTATTAATAGTTAGTAAGGTAGTTGTGAAGTTTAGGTATTGGGTAGGATTAGGGATGTAGAATAAGTTCATGCAGAATATGTGCTTTATAAGTACTGACAAACAGCCAATATTCTAAACATGCATTCTTAAGGATGAGAATTTCCCCCTTAAATAAAGTGTTATGGATTTACATGTATATACACATATATAAAGTATATATACATATATATATATATATTTTTTTTTTTGGCATTAAGAGATATCTGGTCGTACAGTAGGAATGAGTCATGTGTGATGAATAAAGAGTGTCTGCACCTGCTGCTCAGTCAGTCATATTCACAGCAGAGCTCTGAGTCGGATTCATTAAGCTCTTCACGGCCGAGTGCGTGGAGTTAAACTCACTCTGACGCATGCATGCAGACCTCCTAATGTAGGCTGATGTGTCGGACATGGACCATTTCAGCCCAGATCCGATTTCCACGAGGAAACAAGGCTCATAAAATGTCGAGAGCTAATCGTGGCAGTCCTCATTGGCAAATTAGGACGCTGTCATTTTTTTCATTCCAGTTCATCTGTGGTTTTGTGCTAAGGAGGATGCACATCATAGTGAATGAGAAAGGCCAGTTCATGGACTACAGATCTCCCATCTCCCATCAGATTCATTGACTGTCACTCACTGACACAGAGCTTCTTATCAAGAGTCTTGTCAAGAAAGGCCTGTGATGTAATACTAGTTCATAAGTGCAGATTTCACTCAATTTGCTCTTATATTTCAGCAGCTGCTTTGTCTAGATTCCAAATTCAAATACATATAAAAAAAAACGTTTTCATTTATTTTGCTACTTTAAACTTGTTATTGTATACCAGATCAAAACCTTCAGTCTTAAACTACAAAAAATATGTTTAAACCATGATGAGCTAAACAAAAAAATCCTTTCAATATTATATGAAAAAAATACAATGCAAAAAAAAAAAAATCTAATTATTTTAGTTTTTACATAATGTATAATATTATTTAAAAATATATATCCTTGCAAATATTATTTATTAGTAAAAAACACATTTTCAGTTGTGGTATCATTTCCATCACAATGAACAATATTGCCACAACCATTTTCAAAAGTTTGTGTCTTTCTTTACTACGTGGACAATAGTGTCATGTGAAGAACATGCTTGAAATTAAAAATCAAATGTGATTTGTGAAGAGGAGAGAGAAAAATCACCACTTAAGTAAATCACAGAGTAAATACCTCTTGAGCGCAGACTAACTTTTGCGTAGGGTTTTCAATAAAGCTGCAATTTTCTCAAATTATATTAAAAAAAAAAGTGTGAAAATGTATAATTATGTAATAATTGTAATACATGTAATGTTATATATGTGGGATACATAAAATTCTAGCCATGAAGTTTTGTTCCAAATGCTTTAAAAGTGTCATTTCCAATACTGCCATTAACATAACTGAAGAATAGAATAGAATAGAATAGAATTTTCATGACCTTCAGACAGAATTCTCCCATGATGCATGTAGTGTCTGCTGGGTGTGGGGGGTGTTTTAAGAGACTTTATATTTCATAAAAGTCAACAGAACCAAACATGTCCATATTGACTATACAGTATGTGGTGATATTCACTCAAATTAAATTGACCTGAATTGACCATGTACATACTCTGTTACTTCTGTCAGTCCTTTCAAGATTCAGATGGATGAAAAACCCTGTCCTGACAGAGATGTTCCCAGTAAGAGTGTAAGAAAGTCTAAGAACGACTGTCTGCCACCTGGAGGGCGTTTTGCCTATGGTCATACATCAAATCTGCCACTTTATTTCTCAGTGCAGTGTGAATGAACCCTCAGACTAACAGCAGTCCTCACCTCCAGCTCTGACACGCTTGCTGGCTGCTCATCTAATTCTCCTGTCACTGCCATCTCACTGGATTCACACCAGACCCAAGACATCAGTCTCTAACAGTCACGGAGCAGAGAACTGAAGTTACTAATAAGAGCAGCGGTCTGAGCGGAGGCATTATTCATGCAATCAGGAGCGAGCCCGCTGAGCTTGTGTAATAGGATTAAGGCTGCCATGGCTGGAGTATTTTTAAGGTTAGCGCAGGTGTTGATAAGCACCTGCAGCTGTTGGACTCATTATAGTGCAGTGCTGATGTGTAATGAGTCTGATAATGGCCATTAGAAGAGATGGTGTGGGTGGTACACGAGTAGATTCCTTATGAATGGGAGAAGGGGCTCAGTGGTGAGCTTATGTGTTTCTGTGTTAGCCCTGGAGTTATTGAGTTTTGTTTTGAGAAAATCTAAAAAATGATTTAAAAACCAGGATTTTGTTATCACTTTCTGCAACTAAACCCCCTTAAAATCTGTTCATACTGTTCTTGAAACAAAATGGTATTTTACATTTTATTTCTAAGTACAGTTTCGGCTGTAGAAATGTGACAAAAGAAATAACAGCACAAACAAATAGCAATTCATGTTTATTTGGGTCTGTTATTCTTCATTAAAAGCAGAATTGCACAGGAGTATTGCAATCTCATAAACCTCATAAATGAATGCAGAATAGTATTCATGCACGTGATTTTTGCCATATATTGCATTTCAACAGACTTATTAGCACTCAACTACTTGTACATAATAAATATATCAAACAAATATGAACCATCAGATAACGTAAAGCACAACAGGCATTGCAAAATATAGACAAATTTTGTAACACAGTCTTGTTGGTTTCATTTCCATGTTTAAAAAAAAATTCCACAGTTTCAGTTTAACATGCATTTTGTAACATTTGAATTTCATCTTTGTTTTCTACTCTACAAATTCGTTTTCTGTGTCAACTATAATTACAATACATGCAGTTTTTATGAGCTCATATTTATACTACATTGATATTTATACTGAAAAAGGCCCAATGTTATTATATTATAACATATTAAAGCCCAATGTGCTGTTAATATGTTAACATAAAGAAATTTTCTGTTTATTTTTCGCAGGAGTTTTTCCACCCACATACATTGAATTACAGATTGTATTGTGTTTTATAGGCACACTGTAAAAAAAATTCCGTAAAAAAAATGGCAGCTGTGGTTGCCGGAATTGTACCGTAAAAAATACGGTAGCAACGTTTTAGGTTTTACGGTTTAACTTAAATTTACAGTTAAATGCTGTAATTTCATTAACTGATATAATGTTAATGTACCAACCTATTGAAGTACTGAAATCTGTTTTGTACCTTTGTAATACACTGATAACCACCAAATGCAGGAGGTGATGAGAAAGTCACATGATGAACCAAAGCCCATCACAAGCAGCTTTTAAATAATAACATATATAGAAGGTGCACAGAGTCATTCACACAAACACTAAACACCATCATGGTAACACACATGAAACTGAAATAATGCAATAAACATTCATTTAACAACATTAAGTGTAACACACAACCCTAATATACAAAACTGATAAGAAAAAACTAAGAAGAAACATGGTTATTTCAACAAAAAAACATCAAATTTGAAATGTAACGCAGGGAATTCTGGGAATGTCAATTTACAGTTATTCACTGTAAATTATACGGTATTTTTCACATCCAAAAACGGAATACTACCTTAAAATTAATGTCCAATACATGTAATGTCCAGTACAGTTTTTCACCGTATATAGTAGGGGAATTTACCGTTAACCATTTAACAGGTTTTTACTGTAGCATTTTTACAGTCTTTTACCATTAAATTCACTGTCATTTTTTACAGTGCAGCACTTTAAAATAAGGTTCCATTAACATGATATCAGTGTTAATTTCTACATTATTAAAATCAAAAGTTGTATCTGTTAATATAATCTAATGGACCTGAGCCAACATGAACTAACAATGAACAGTTGTATTTTTATTAACTAACTTAAAAAAGAGGAATAAATACTGTAATAAATGCATCGCTCATTGTTAGTAAGGGTTGGTTCTTGAATTAACTAATGAGACCTTTTGTAGATAATATCCGGACAGAAAATCACCAGTGTCTTTTACATTTTCTACATTTTTCTCTTTCTTTTTGTCCTCCCAGTTAACATGAGATATTTTTTACTTTTAACTTCATTTGACACACAGGACCTTGTAAAAGGTCATTAAAAATCGGAGGAAAAAATGGTGAAAGTTACAGGACCTTAGCTTAGATTTACTTTTAATTAGATTTACTGAGATTTTTCCCCTCTCTTAAATACACGTACATTTGAACCTAAAAAGTTCATAGACAACTGCCCACATGTAAAATAATTTATATATCATAAATATATATTGCAATCTCAATGTCACTGTATCACTCATCATAGCTAACCTTTTTTAGAGTTGCACCCAAGGGTGCTGGAGGACCCTATGCGATCCAGCCGTCCCCCGAAACAGCCAGACAGGCTTTTGCTCCGGGTTGACATGAGGAGATCTACGAGGCGGTTTCTCTGCGTCTCGAATCCATCCGAGGGGTTGCTGTCCTCCGCCGGAGCTGCTTCTTCCTCTCTGTCTCTGTCCCAGGACGTGTTGCTGTCCTCATAATCCACGGCTCTCTCAGGAGCCTCTTCTGCGGCCAGGGCCTCCTCAAGCTGCTGCAGCAAGCTCTGGAGAGCAGAACAGAGTCAACCTAGCCATTCTGTTGAAACGTTTTCTAATGTACTATGCTTGTAGTATTCTTTGCATGCTCGAGATGATATTAATGTTTTTTTTCCCTGTTTGGATCATATTAAATCTCATTCAGTTTAAGGCCTCGATGAAACTAACACCGTAAAAAATGACCAAAAACGGTAACATGGTTTTATTCAAGTCTGAAAATACGATTTAAAGGGAAAGTTCACCCAAAAATGGAAATTCTGTCATCATTTGCTCAGCATCAAGTTGTTCCAAACCTGAATGATTTTCTTTCTTCTGTTGAAAATAAAAAGACATTTTGAAGAATGTGGGTTACCAAACAGTTTCTGGTCCCCATTGACGTCCATACTATGGAGAAGAAAAAAAAATACTATGGAAGTCAATGGGTGCCATCAAGGGTTTGGCTACCCACATTCTTCGAGATATCTCCTTTTGTGTTCGGCAGAAGAAAGAAACTCATATAGGTTTGGAACAACTTAAATTTTCGTTTATGGGTAGACCATCCCTTTAACGTTCAGTCAGCCAACCTAAACATCCATTTATACCAAAAAAAAAAACGTACTTTTCTGCGTTGAGGTAGAAAAGGCGTGCAAGTTACGACTTTTTATCATAGCTACTAGAGTAAACAGATCCAAACGTTCTCGTTTCACTGCGAGTTCTCTCAATATTTATTTATTTATTTTAAGGGTTCAAAGCAGAAATACCTTCAGCTTGGCCATGTTGCTGGCGGGACTGTGTCTGCTCAACGTGTGCGCTTGTACATCCATCTGGTGCCAAAGCAGGACCAGTAGTCCTGTGAGAATAAGTCCTCTGATCATCTCTGGGTTCCTCTGGCTGCTGGCTCTTTCTCTCTGAACTGGCCGTCTGCCTGCTTGGCTCTTATATAGGGACAGTTGACTGTCAGGAGCTCATCCTCTGTAAACTGTGTGAAGTGCATTCCGACACCTCGTCTGTGATAACGCTCCTGGAGCAGATTTCCTTTTAAGTGTCTGTTTGGTGCGGTGTGAGGCGGCTCGCTGGAGAACTCCTGATGTGTGGCGCTGGGTCTGTAACTCGGACACAAACAGTGACCTCAGGCATCATGGGAATGCATCCGCTGCACGAGTGGCTCACATGGTTCCGGCATCACCTCACAACTGATACAAACTACAACTAACTATACCATAAGGGGTTAAAACAGATGATGGTCTATATATAGGCCAGTGATGATGACTGAAATGATGACTTTATGGAGAAATAATAAGGTAACAAACCAGAACCTTTACTCATGTGCATGTTAATGATAACTGAACTAATTTCTTTAAAGTAGTTAATAGACATTTTAATACCATTGGCAATCTAACATCTTATGTGCAAATATGTTTCTTCGGCGAAGAAAATGAGTGGTGTAGTTATTTGTCTGGCAAATGGCTAAATCTAAAATAATGTGGTTAATGTTTTTTTGCAGAATAAATGATGTAGCTGATAGGGGAGAATGAAACTTGTTAAATGTTTTACTCCAGTGAATATTATAATACTATCAAAAGTAAAAGCCATCTTCCATATCATATCTGTATTTAAAATTTATTAAACGATAAACAACTATAAAACAGGGTTATTATACTTAACTAAGTACTGTGTGTGTGTGTGTGTGTGTGTGTGATTTTTTTTTTTACATTTCTGCTTAAAAACTTATCAAATTTATTTTAGCTAGTGGCCAAATTAAAATTTCTAATTTTCTTCTAGTTTAACTTAATGTACTAAAATAACTAAAACTTTAGTAAATAAAAGAACTGAAAAAGTAATAAAAACTATATGGAAAATAAAATAAACAAAATGAATAAAAATGACAAATACAGACCAAAAATTACCAAAACTTTATTATTGTTATTATTATTATTGTTGTTGTTGTACATCAAAATGTGCAATAATATTTTTAAAATGTGCTAAGAATATTTTCTATTTGAAACAATCTTTGTCGTCCCACTTTAGAAAAGGATGTTTCAAAAGTGGGACAGCATGTTTTGACTAATGTGGGACAGTCAAATATGCTATGTTATTCAATTGATAAAATGTGCATTAAGAAAGTTAAATGCCATACATGTATTTTTGTTAAATATTTGGACTTATAATGCTGAAATATTATTTGTTTTAAGATCCAGATTTAAAATTTAGAGACTAGAGGACAATGGGTTTCTGGACCATGATGAGTCCATGGTAACAAGGACTACTAATTTTTGTTATGAAGTGTTTTTATCATCACAGTTTGCTTAGCACATGCTTTTGAAAATACATATTCCATATTCTTACCATGTGCAGAGTACAGAAGTTTAATTTTTTAAGTTTAACAGTTTTAAAGACGTTCCATAATAAATCTTCTTTAATCGTTTATGAAATTATTTTGCTATCATTTTTGTCCAGTTTTACATTTTTGACTTCATTACATGGTTATTATTATTGTTGCTGCCAGAAATCTGACATTTTTGTAATAAATTATTTTAAATAGTAATAATTTAATTTCTGTTATATAGTTGGATTTACCATTCCACATGTGAACATATAGGCTATATAAGACAAACTGATGAAGACAGCAAACACACTGTAGGCCTACTAAATTAATTAAGCAAACATAGTTATGCATTAAGCATTAAATATGAAGTTTGCTTTGTAAAAATTTAACGATTTCTAACCCAAAACATAGTGTCCCAGATTTGAGCATGAGCCGTCCCACATTAGAAAATCCACAAATTCTTAAACGATTTGGCACAAGGAGCACTGATATATGTGCAATTTCCCCTTAATGTACAATATCTGAAAAATTTCTTCTGATATAATAATGGAACATCTTGGGGATTTTATAATGATAAAAGATTTTGATTTATCGTTTTGGCTTCACATGGAAATATGAGACCATTCAAAATTGCAAAAAGTGTCCCACATTACCCTATCCACCCTATTATTATTACTATTATTATTAATACTATTATTATTACTACTACTTCTACTAAGTATTAATAAAAACGACAATAGTGTCTCAATTATACTAAAATAATAATAATAATAATATACAAGGAAAATATTGAACTGTTTTGGCCAACAAAAATTTTAATTCATAATTTGATATAAAACGTGCCAAACATGTGACAACTTGAACCAACTTGCCAATGTTAGTTTGGAGCTATTTAGCTACCTCTGGTTTCCCCTATTCATTAACAACTTATACCGAAAAGCATTTTGTTCTAAATGTCACCACCAAACCTTGTGATAACATAGGCCTAAATTATACTGAATGTCACTGAAATGTTGTATCTAACTCAGGATAGTGACCTTGAGTTCCCTTGAGTAATGTGAAGCACTGTTGCTCTCCATGGTGCTGAAACAGGTTTAACTGATAATGATGCCCTGAGGAGGGACCGAGGAATTTCTGCGACTCCAAGGGCCAGTTTGATCAATGCGATCATGTTGTTGTTGTCGGGCAAACAGTGCAAGAACTTTATTCTTCATCCTAAACTATACTTCAATATTCCAGAGTTCAATATAACCATATCACATTATAATTTGAAATAGCTTATTATATATTCAGTGAAAACTCATGGTGCATGTGTTCAGGTAAATTTTGAGGAAAAAAAAGAAAGAAACGAGAAAAAAAGATTTCGGAAACAAAGGCATGTGTAAACATTTATTACGACTGATCTGAATGACAATTAAATTAAATATGCATATACATATATAACTGGACTATTTAAACAATTTAATAAATATCAAAATAAATATGCATGGTTAAGAACAATTTCTGGAGTCATAGATAATAACAGTAAAAAAAAAAAAAATTTGTCAGGTAACCTAGAAATGTGCTTTGATAGTAATATCTTGTTTTTTTGTTGATGTCAAAAATATAATTTAATATGACTAAATCAACCTGAATACATTAGGTTACACCAACAAAAGTCATTGTAAGGTCAGATCAAGTAGAAATAACTCTTTAAAGTAACACCAGCACTAAAAGTTTAACTTTTTTTTTGCAGTGTAGAAGCTCCTAATCATTAAGACTTCACCACTTCTTAGAACCTGGAAAAAGAGAAAACAAGAGAATGTGTAAGTTAGTGGACCATAAACCTGTATGTTAATATCATTTCTGTAAATTAGCGTGTCGAGGAAACTAACTATTATAAATTGTTGTCTAGAAACAGTTCTTTATTTTTGTATTCAAAGTATGTTATGTCCATATTAACCGTGCGATACGTAAATGAAGTGGTTACCTGAGCGTCCGGCGGTGTTGCAGCCCAGGGACGACATGGAGCCGATTCTGTCCAGTTTGCGCCCGAAACACCCGGAATATCTCTTGGAGTCCTGCCGGACCGTCCTCAGGTCCCGAGCAGACAGATAGTCTCTCATGTCAGTCTGGGGTGGAGTTTGAGCGCGGGTTTCCTCAGGATTAGCCTCCTCTTTCTTCACTTTCCTCAGTGTTTGCTCTTGAGAAGCAGCGGGAATGGACTCTTCCAGTCGCTGTAGAAGAAGCTGACAGGGCCATATGTGGCTCATTAGTTTGCCCTATTGGGTGAGCATTATTAAGCAAGTTTGAGTCCTGTCTCATTCCAACCCGATCTCATGAATGTGCGTATCAATTGCTCGAGTTTATGTTTCGATTTGGCGTACTGTTTATACGCAGAAATTGATCAAATTGCATATGATACGCAATGGGTATAGGATTAGCGCTGTGGGGTAAATGCGTGTCATATGCACGCCAAAGTCAATTTTTGCGTATCAATACCCCGATTTTCTGTTTTTATTTGGCGTACTATTTATACGCATTTTCATGAGATGTTCGTCTTACCTTTAAGACATCCCTGTCCTCGGTGGTTAAGGCTGTGTTTTGTAGCGGGAAGGCGCCCATGAGCTGAACGCTGAAGAGCAAGAGAAGGCCGACTAGAGGAATGTCAATCGAGTTCATGTTTCCTGATGTTTTTGCTGCTCTTCTGTCTCGTTTGTCGTTGTCTGTATACTCTCTCAGCGGAGCCTCGAGCTCTTTTATACTTTAAAGTTTGACACGCCAGTTATGTGAAGAATGGCGGTGCATTCCGACACCTCAGTCTGATAAAGGCTGCTGTCGGAAATCAGTCATTTAAAGCTTATAGACGAGTCCAAATGGGCCATACAGTGACGGGAACACCTTCATGATTTCATTATACCCCTGTTCCCTGAAATCATTCACATCAAGTGGCTTGCATGGCACTTTAAGGCAAGTTACAGTAGGCTACATATACGCTTTATCTGCATAATAATTAATAATGTCACTAACAAACACTGTATAATGTTAGAGTGAGCAGTTTATAGGCTGAACATATATTAAAATACATTAATAAGTATTAACTGTGAACATTAATCAATGGTTTCAAGATTCAGTCACACTTTATTTTAAGGTCCAAGTCTTGCTATTAACAATTAACTATGACTTTTGCCTCAATAAACTCCTAATTTGCTACTTATTAATAGTTAGTAAGGTAGTTGTTAAGTTTAGGTATGATTAGGGATGTAGAATATCATGCTATTATTATTAATACTATTATTATTACTACTACTTCTACTAAGTATTAATAAAAACGACAATAGTGTCTCAATTATACTAAAATAATAATAATAATAATATACAAGGAAAATATTGAACTGTTTTGGCCAACAAAAATTTTAATTCATAATTTGATATAAAACGTGCCAAACATGTGACAACTTGAACCAACTTGCCAATGTTAGTTTGGAGCTATTTAGCTACCTCTGGTTTCCCCTATTCATTAACAACTTATACCGAAAAGCATTTTGTTCTAAATGTCACCACCTAACCTTGTGATAACAT